AGTCTGAGATGATTCACACTTTTTGACATGGCGTGTTATCCTGCTGGATGTAGCCATCTGAAGATGGAGACACTGTGGTCATAAAGGGATGGACATGATCAGCAACTATACTCAGGTAGGCTGTGGCGTTGACAAAATGCTCAACTGGTACTAATGGGCTCAAAGTTTGCCAAGAAAATATCCCCCACACCATTACACTACCAACACCAGCCTGAACTGTTGATTCAAAGCAGGATGGATCCATGCTTTCATGTTGTTGACGCCAAATTCCAACCCTATCATTCAAATGTTGCAGCAGAAATAGAGACTCACCAGACCAGGTAATGTGTGATTTATATAGTATATATATTTCCTGTTCTTAGCTGACAGAGAGGCACCCGTTGTGGTCTTCTTCTGCACATCCACCTCTAGGTTGTATGTGTTGTTACATTCGAGTTCTGCAGAGGAGCATCTCTGAACACACAAGTGGTTATTTGAGTTACCGTTGTCTTTCGATCACCTGGAACCAGTCTGGCCATTCTCCTCTGAACTCTGAACTCTGGCATCAACAAGGCATTTGCGCCCACAGAACTGCCGCTCACTGGATATTTTCTCTTTTTCGAACCATTCTCCATAAACCCTAGAGATGGTTGTGCGTGAAAATCCCAGTAGATCAGCAGTTTTTTTAAATATTCAGACCAGCCCGTCTGGCACCAACAATCATGCCACATTGTCACTTAAATCAGCTTTCTTCCCCATTCTGATGTTCTGTTTGAACTGCAGCAGATCCTCTTGATCATGTCTACATGCCTAAATGTATTGAGTTACTGCCATGTGATTGGCTGATTAGAAATTTGCGTTAACAAGCAGCTGGACAGGTGTACCTAATAAAGTGACCATTGAGTATGTATCATTAATAACCCTAAATTGGCTTTTCCAGATATATATATATATATATATATATATATATATATATATATATATATATATATATATATAAACATCTTATATGTGTATTTCCTCAATGTCAGGTACACTTTAAAATGTATGTTACCACTGAATGCAACATAATAATAATCTAATTCATAATTACATTAATTAATCAAAATCAGTGCTCTACTGAAGACTTCACAATTTGTTCCTGGATATTGTACTCTTAAGTACTCATAACGACTAAACATATTTTTATAAACTTTTGTTTAAGAAACAGAAATAATAGTTTGTAATTTTTTCCAATATTGTATTTTAATTTTGGCAGCGTAGTGGGACAGTGGGTAGCTATTGCCTCACACCAAAAACATCACTGGTTCGAGTTCCAGCTGGTCCAGTTGGTATTTCTGTGAGGAGTTGGCATGTTCTCTCCGTGTTGGTGTGGGTTTCCTTCAGGTGTTCTTGTTTCTCCCAGAGTCCAAAAGCATGCGTTATTGGTAAATTGGGTATGCTAAATTGTATGTAGTGTGTGTGTGTGTGTGTGTGCGAATGAGAGTGTATGGGTGTTTCCTAGTGATGGGTTGCATCTATAAGTTCATCTGCTGTGTAAAACATATGCTGGATAAGTTGGCGGTTCAGTCCACTGTAGCGACCCCTGATGAATAAAGGGACTAAGCCAAAAAAAAAAATGAATGAATGAATATTTTAAATATCACATTTATCATGTATCATGTAATCTTTGTTTAATGAGCAACAGCTTAGCTGAATCTTGTTGCTATTTATGTGCATTTCAAAGCATTTACCTGTGTTTGCCTGTCTGTGTTTTGATCCCTGGACTGTTTACTCCATTTTTGACCGTTCTCTGCCTGCCCGGACTATTGCTTGTTATCTGGATTACATTTTGGATCTTCTATGTTGTTTTTGGTGCTCCTGTTTACCCATACCTGTACGACCATCCCACTTTATAATAAAGCTGCATTTGTATATCGATTGTCAGCACAATCTGTCATAACACTATACTAAAATGTTACATTTTATACACTTTATGGGTGCATAGTGTGCTGTATATACTGTAGTATGAGCTCAGTTTAGGGTACTTTAGTTGTGATGATTTCATATTGCTAATAAGTTACTGAAGTCTTATTTTTTTGTGTCATAGATGGTTAAGAGCAGCAAAACAGAAGCTAGAAACTGTTCATTTATCATTATTTTGAATGTGTAAGGTCCACCCAGTTGGCCCAATGCCGGTGTCCACTGGTGGATGAAGGTTCACTGCATGTTCGGTTTTTCCAGTGCACAATGTTGATTTACCTTAAATTTAGCTCATATCTGACTCCAATTTTAGTATGAGGTGGTTTAGAATATTAATATATTTATCTTTAGTTTTATCTGACTCCAATCATAAAACATTAAAAAGATTATATCAATATGTAATTTAGATAAATGTTTGAACCGTTTGTCTTCACTAGTAACTATTACATCCGTTCATTCGGGTGCTCATGTCGCTCAGAGAAATCGGCTCGGCCGAAGGCGTCCCTCACGGACACACTCTGGTCAGTCTTGAATATTAAACAGAGGTAAATTGACTAATACTTTAGATGGCCGCTACCAGCGCGCTCGTTCTAAAATACTTTCGTTAGTCCCGCTTAGATGTACACCTTTGAGTTAAGACAATCATCATTTCTAATTAGAGGTTAGGGCATTAATATAAATGTACCCGACTACTGGACTCTATAGTAACTTTGGTTTTCACCAAGCACATGGTTTCCCATATGAACTTAATTTAGAATAATATTACCTTCAAACAAAGGTCGGGTACCCAATCTAGGTTAGTCGTGCAACAACTTGTTGACCTAGATGTAAGTTAACGCCCTTTCCACCTAAGTACACTTGAATCAATATCAAGAGTCAGCCGGATCCCTAAAACACAATTAGTGTGCCCAATGCTCCATCTCAACTGGATTTTAGTCCGTCTACTGACCTGACGCAAGACGTGCGGAAACAAGGATACAGCGTAATCTACAAGAACTAATAATTACAGAGTGAGCAAAATATGGTCAAACATTACAATTTATAAGTCAGGTAAATGTATTATGCCAATTCAATCAGTCAATTCATAAATGATCAATACAAAACATCAAATTATCAAAGATAAATCCAAGATGAAAAGATGCATACCTGACTTCAAATTATACATAACGTGGAGCGTAAGCTCCATGTTACGGCTGATCTGGGTAGGCAGAATCGCCCTGAGCCTTTCTCAAACCTTACCTTAAATAATCCAAGAATTCCCTCAAGGAAAAGGGTGTGTGCATAAAGTCACACCCTTCACAGTGGTTCAAAAGATGCCTGAAGTTATATATTTATTGTTTTGATTATGTCTATTTCTGAGAATTAAGAGGTCTCATTTCTGAGAGAATGAGACCATTGTATCAGTCGCACTGAGACATTTCAAATGATATCAAACATGATAGATAAAGTCACTTTGGTTTATTTAGAACATTCAAACATTGAAATGACCATATGCGTGAGATGGGGTGGATGAAGCCGAGTTTCAGCAGACTCAGATGTAAATGTTGCAGGAGGTGTTTTTTCCCGCATTCCCACCTGCTGGGTTGTGGAGTCAATTGTCTCTGTTTTCAGCTCATGTTTGAATTGTCAATGACATCAAAAATATTTGCAATATCTCAACTCTTACAAATGACTCTTAAATGATGGTTCAATTTATTTAACAATATACATCTATCAGATACAAAGAAATGGTGAAATTCAAGTGCATCCTTTCCCTTCAATTATCACGGTGATCATGTAAATTTGAAAATGAAATTTGTAATTAAAATAAAGAAAGCGTTTGACTGGAGTACAGACTTTTTATTATTAAAGTGGAAATTTAAATTTTTGGGTGCCTTTATGTCTGATATTTGGTAGTTTCTATGGTCATTCTGATGTAGGCCTTGTGTTTGATTTTTGGACAAGTATTTGTTGTCCAATTTCTCATTAGAAGATAAATAAAAGTGAAAGTAAACCAATGAAATTTACCTCATGGTTGTGTAAAGATATTCAACAACTTTTCAAACATCTCTCAGGGAAGCAAAGCAAGCCCAAGCGAAACATTGGAAACCTGTTTCTTGTCATGAAACGTGGAAACAAAAAAAAGTGTACAGTTTGTTTTTTATTATAAGGTCCAAACATGTCAGAGTCATTTGAAACAATATTTTCTTGCCAGAAAATATTTAACTTCATGTTGTAAAACCTGTTTGATTTACTAAACTACTTCCTCGAAACAACAGAGATCTGGTCCAACACGTCAACAAGCTATCGGTGTCACTTTTAGCAAGGAGGTTAGTACATTTATTTACATAGTTTGACATGTTAAGTTTATTTTAAAGGTTTTAATTAAATACGTGCTCAACTTTTTTTAATTTGTGTATTAAACTTCAAGTAAAACATGTTTATTGACTTTTATATTAAGCTTACAGTGGATTTTCATCTGTCTAGGATTTGCACAAATATCAAAAATGGCTGAATGCTCCAAAACAAATCCAGGCAAGTCAAACACACACAGATCACAACCTTAATTTCAAAACTCTATGATGTGTTTGCTTGTGTTATCTTTGACTGATATTTAAATGGGTTTGATGATCTGACACATTAAAGTGTGACAAACTTGAACAAAGTAGGAAATCTCTAAGGGGCAAACACTTTTTCACACCACTGCATACACAGTACAACCAGTACAGAAACAAATATCCTATTCTTAAAATATAGCACATGTTTGTGTAAAATTGTAAGAATTATTTTGACATTTGAAATGAGTTTCTGAATTAATCTAAAATTGGAGATAATTGTTGATGTATATTATTATTTTGTTCCATGTTTTTGTGTGGAATAGATACAGTAAACTAAATTACATTATTTTTTTATAACATCTGTTATTTTCTACACTAAGATTGTGACGATCTGAAGAGATGTGTAATTGAACAGATGACACTATGTGGTCATGGTAAGAAACTCTTAACCCATACAATATCTTGAAATGCCAAAAGCCGGTTTTGGTTTCTACATTTTAAAGTTTTCATTTATAGATGGATTTTCTTTTGTCATTATGTAAATGTAAATTATCAACTGGCACAGAGATGAGAAAAGACATTGTGGTTTTAGACATTTGGTCTAAACTAAAGCATTATAAGCAACACGATTATTACCAGCCTATGACACTCTATGAACAGATTATTATTATCTTATAAACAAACCAGAATATTACTATCCTATAACACTCTTTAAACAAATTATTATTTTATAAACAAATCTGATTATATACAAACACTAAATGATTATTATTATTTTACATTATAAACAAACCTTAAAACATTCTTTCTAGCCTATACACAATCTCTATAGAGTATTATATTTCTATACATCATAATCAAATGTTTATTATTATCCTACATTATAAACATACAGGTTGTTAGCCTATAAACACTCTAAAGAACAGATTATTACTAACCTATGAACAAAAAGTACACAAGTAATATTTAAACCCTACATGGCTGTACAGTTGATTTATTCCTCTGATCGGCTTTGTCTACCTTCTTTTCATTTTTAGGTCCACCGCATTTACATGCAGATAGTAAGGAAGGATTGCCCCCCCCCCCCCCCCCCCATTCAGTAAGACATAATTAGAAATATTTACCAGACACTTGTGTGTTTATGATCTATTGAGTTAACAAGTTTTATCTGTGCTGTTTCTTTGCTTGTGTGTCAATAATTTCAGTGAAAGATGAGCATTTAGATATCACAAAGAACGTAGTGTCAACCAGAAGGTCATCACACAGCCTTTTAACAGAAAGGACTGTTGCCATAAGGCCAGTGGATTCCTCATCAACAAGACAATCACAGACACAAGAAAGAAAAAGACCATGAGAAACAACACAAACACCTGAGAGGCCAGAACACAGAGAAGACACGAAAATACAATCGAGAAGATGCCACACTTTGTAATGAGAAGCACTACTGCTTACAACAGGTTTACTGAGATTAAACATGGACAAAGTTTTATCTTAAATTGAGTGAATTATTATTACACTTATTTGCATACAATTACAGTTTTGCCTCATACTTTGGAGCCATCTGGAAGAATTTTCATTTTAGTGAAATTCTATAATTAAGTTGAGCTCTATTGCCTTTTCTCTACACGTGTGGACATACACTGCAATGAAATATCATGTCTCGCAGTGCTACATAAATAAACAATCATATATGAACACAATACTGGACATAAGAGTTTTTTAAACCTATACACAATACTGGAGTGATAATTAAACTACTAACTATACATATTGTATAACCAAAGACAGACTATACAAGTGCTTTTAGTTATTAGTTAGTAAGAGGTATTTAAGGTTGAAGGAAACAAGTAGACTTGGCATGTTCTCCCTGTGTTTGCGTCGGTTTCTTCTTGATGCTCTGGTTTCCCCCACAGGTGAATTGGATAAACTAAATTGGATGTAGTGCATGAGTGTGCATGTGATAATGTATGGGTGTTTCTCAGTACTGGGTTGCAGCTGGAAGGGCATCTGCTGTGTGAAACATATACTGGATAAGTTGGCGGTTCATTCCGCTGTGGCGACCCCTGATTAATAAAGGGACTAAGCCGAAGGAAAATTAATAAATGGAAAAAAACAAGTTGTGCAACTTCATTTGTGGTACACTCACAGGTAAACATAATTTCCTCAAGATTGATTTTAAGTGTTTGGTGCATATAGAAAGAGATGTTTTTTTTTACAGATAGTGTTTCTCTAAATTGTGCTTTGTGAAGCCCACTCACCTGTGTGAAGAAGAGCACTTTAGCTTCTCTCAAATGTGACAAATGGTGCATTCCAAACGGGACATGTCGCTCTCTGAATGAAGGGCACTTTGTAGTGAAAACGCTTGACCACCACATCAAGTGTTGTTCCAAACTGAAGTTTTATTTCAGTATGTTGACGTATTGGGCAGCACGGTGGTGCAGTGGATAGCACAATTGCCTCAGTAAGAAGGTCGCTGTTTCGAGTGATGGGTTGCAGCTGGAAGGGCATCCACTGTGTAAAACAGGGGTGATTTTATTTATACATATATATGTAGGACTTTTATTTTGAGGCCGACATCACGAGCTCACATTTGATTGGCCAATCAGAAGAAAAGGGCATTTCAGCGCCGCCTACATGTGAATAATGAATTTTAAAGTCGTTATCTGTTTTCCCACCCTAAACCAAAAAAAATCGAGCCAAAATCAATTTTTTCCCGTTTTTTGTGAGCAAAAGAAAAACCAAAAAATGTCCGTTTTCTAAATTTTCCTTTTTTGTTTGAAAACAGATAAGGAATGGACGAAGATATTCTTATTTCGTTTGTTTTTAAACCGTTGATTTGATTCAGTATTTGACAGAAATATTTGAGATCTGAAGTGATTTATGTCATGATCGTGCTGCCTGTCTTTATCGTACGCCAGATCAGCTCAGATGTGTTGAAAAGTAAAAAAGGTCACGCTACAGTAAAGGGAATATGTTATTTTTATAATCACG